CTCCACGTTGTGGCCGTGGCGACATCGGTTCGATTCCGGTCTTGGGCAAGCGGCTTAATTTTGCGGTTTTGCAGACCAATGGATTGGTGCTCAGAATCCTTGTGGAAAAGGAACAGCTGCTCTCGGACCTAATAACAGTAAACTGATCTGCAGTGCAGGTGATTCATCGCAGTGTCCAGATGGATTCTATTGCCACATTGGTGAAACTCGTGCAGCAACCGCTTGCTGTAAAACATCTGGAGGTCAATAAATTCGTTTTCGTCAATTAATTCGTCAATCAATGTCCCCAGTATCGCGGCAATTTCAGAATAGCAATTCTTCATTCTTAAGCTTCATACTTCGATCATCATTATTGAAATTGCCATAAAATGCGACTTGCCACTAATTTGTGCACAGCGACTTGGGTTATTCAATTTTATCAATGAAAATCAGAATAATCACAACGCATTGACGTCGTACTATTGTTTACTAAGAAAATTTGTTCGTTTCCAATTTTCATTTCATTCATCCTAATCAGGAAATTCATCAGAGCCTGATAAATTCCAATACGATTGTTCCTCATGGCATTTGAACAGGAATCTATTGAACATCAATAACATTGGCTTGATGGAAAAATGTGCGAGAGAGAAGCCTAAAAATTAATTGTTTCACATACTTTCGAACTGACATATTGCAAACACGGATAATTTCGCATAATGGTTTCAGGGGAGAGTCGGTGCTTGGTGCCATTGAGCGTTGGTGAAGGAAGCGCATTGATAAAGAGATTTTATTACGATCAAAATGAGAAGCAGTGTAACGAATTTGTTTATAAAGGAACGAAGGGCAATGAAAATAATTTCTTGACACGCGATGAATGCGAAAAAGAATGCGAGAGTAAGCATTCTTTATCAATGATGTTATCTCTGGAATATAATCGTGATCAGCTGCTTAATTGAGAAAAACGCTTTGCATCTTGAAACAGTATGATGACGACGTAACGAACTTGTGCTTCTTGTCGAGGATTTCAAATGCATTTGTAAGATTTCAATTTATAGAGCCAAACGAT